CACGGATCACGTTCCACGTTCGAGTGAATTTTAAAGACCACAAGTTGCCGTTAAATGCAATTTCCAAATAGCATTCTGACTTCCTTTCGTAGATTTTGCATATACATAAACGATAAACTGCTAATCGACACGTTTATATGTACATAGTATGCTGATTAGGTTTTTTACTTCCTTCGCGTGATGTATGCATTAGGCGATCGAGTTGACTATGATTATCACGTTAATTACCGCTTCTATTAAAGTATGCTCGCTCTGGTTAAATCTATTAAATTTACAAATCGAAAGCGTCGATGGTTAAATTTATTTATCTTGGCGAATATCTTAACAGACTTAACCGACTTTTCGTAAATTTCGAAGTTCTGGCTGAATTTTGAGAAAGTACGTTGGAGCATCGATTCTCTCTATTTATTCGTTTATGGAGTAAATCACTTTGGTTCCTGAGAGACTCGATTGTCAGTTGTTAAAATACATCTGGTAACCTTGCTGAATCTCTTCGATCTCGCGTTACTTGTGGTTTGGCAATGTAACGAGCGAACAACGACGCTTCATCGGGCAACTCCTGCTTTTATTATCTTTCCCGTCTTCGCGAGGGTTCGAGTTACAGAGTTACGAGCACAATAGTCGTAGGCATCCTATCATTTGTTCGGTTGCCAACTGTAGAGAATGGGTCAGCTCTTAGCGCTTAGAAGAGCATTTGCTTCTATTATGATCCCTCGGTCATCTATCATTCACGACGTAAATTCGAAATCAATTTCCCGTTTCCCGACCCGCGATCAAGAAAAACGTCAGTGCAAACACGTATACGCGGTTGGTTTACAAACACCCAGCTAAAAACACGAATAAAACCCAATGTACTTGCATGGTAAAACGTACAATCTGTCCGCAAATAAACATCCGTCTCCACCTTACCTCCGCATTAAATATCCAAATATAGTGAGCATCAATCCCACTGTCACAAATAATGCTCTTCTTTCCGATGTTTAAACGCAAAAAAATTATTCTACGACGCAAATGTTGTTGCGGACGAAGAAATGAATAATTGCATACGTTTAACCCTATGTAACCTTGTGTGAAATCACATACCCATATACAGTGAACCCTCGATTATCCGTCCTCTTTAAGTTTCTAAAACATTAATGAGCTGCATAATTGTCTTGCTCTTATTCACGCTCCTCATAAACATTTGTTCAGGCGTGCATCCGGGCCCACGACTTTGTCCACGCGTTTTATGGCTACGGCTAGCGTGCCTTCGTTCGGCAACAAAGACAAATCAGAACCCCTAAAAGCGCACTTTACCAATTTTTTTGGACACACATTGTTTTCGACACCAGGGACCTCCGTGCACTTCCCCTTAGAGTTAGAAATAGTCGCACCCACTACCACCGTCAACCACCAATCAGTCAAAATTTGCACACCCCCATCCGCAACATTTTCGACCAATAGCAACAGAACCGAGATTATGTAAACCGCGAGCACCGTAAAAAATGTCACTCTTTCCTCTGAAAAGACAACCCGAACATTAAAAATAAAGAACACACAAAACCACTGTCTCGGTGCGTTACTTATACGAAATCTGCTCCGACGACATTAATTTGCCGAACGAGCAAGCCGGGTTCGCGACTTGAGAAATTTACGACTTCTTACAAGAAAGTCCGCAATCATATCGGGTACAACATTGAACAAATGATTGTGGAAATTGCTATTCATCGGTACAATAATGTATTTTAAACCTACTCATGTCTTAGTCCGATTTCAGCTCATTACCAAACAATAGGTCTCAAACAATCGTTTTTTCTACTAGGAAATAATTTGGATTAGCAGAGTACTAACACTCAGGCGATATCGTAACAATATAGTTAACTGTTATCAACGCCGGCGTGGAGATCGTCACAACCCGAATTATTACGATACATAATTAACACGATTCGACCGAAACTAGCAGATACTCCCGTTCAAATCAAAACCGTGCACGTTGGGAGTTAATTTCCTTCGTTAATATCCAATCGTTTACGATGTTCGATAATGACGCGCGCATGTTCGTCGTCTGTGAATAGAGCGGAACCTACCGGGTATTATTACAAGAACGGTTTTACGCTTTAAGAATCCTCGTGTAGAAATTATTGAACCACTTTATGCCCCTCGAACGGCGCCACATTAGCGCCAATAAGCAAACAACTCGACGAGTGCGAGCAGATATCGTCACTGGCCGCTTCTGCGAACTCGCAATTGTTGTACGTTGACTCGTTCGTCTCTCTCTCTCTCTCTATAAATAATCTGTACAATTTCTAGAGGCCTCCTCTCCTGTGTCCGCGAATTCCCCGGTGGTTTCGTTTCGCGTAAAGGACTTTGAGCTTATGTGACGCGTGAAATTATAACGGCGGTGGAAAAGTAAAAAAAAAAAAAAAAAAGAAAAAAAAGAAAGAAAAAGAAAAGCGAGAGAGAAAGAGGGCGCCGGGGCAAAGCATTCTTTGAATGGCGGAATTATTTGCAGTAAGAAAATGAGAATCTAAAAGGCGGCCGAGTAAACCGTATAAAGGAGAACGCTTTTTCTACGATGACTCCGCAATTATATTACTCCGTGCCGACGCTTTCTTCCGTGAGGTTCGCAACCGCCGTTTGGTTTGCCCTTTCGCGGTTTTAGCTTTTTAACCGTGCAACCGAGAAAAATACGAAAGCCCACGCGCGTTCGCGCATGGTCTTTGTTATTATTATTATTATTCAGTGGCAAATACACAGGACGAAAGGTCTCGAAAATAATTCGAGTCTTCGGGAATTCGAAAATACAAAATTACAAATGGAAGTAGGGGCACAAACGAAGAAGCTTTAAGCGACCAAAATTCGGACAGCAGATTTTTTTTAATCGGTGGAGGAAGATCTCTGGGCCCTCCCTCATCATTATATTAATGTTAGTATTACTAATATGCACGACGAAGCTAGTTCAGTCAGCCTCGGATAAAACGGCAACAAAAGCTATTCGAATCAAATGTGTCCTTTGTTCGAAGGGGTATTAAAAGATCGACTACATACCAGTAAATGAAAAAAAAAGCAATGTTATTGTAGAACCGGTATTGTTAGAGATCATATCAAATTTTGTCGTGTTTGATAGACGAAAAACGAAATATAAAAGACAGATTAATTCTCCTTTCCAACATTTTAATGGCATCGACGTTCCAAATTTTCTGATAACTCTCGAGATATAAAATATGTCAACACCTATCCAACCTCTTTATCAAAGTTTTTTCAAAAATGTAAAGGCATTGATGCGTCACCATACCGAATAGTGGAAATGGCCACTGTCGATAACAGCTGGGAAAGTAAAACAATGGATAGATTTAGCTCTTATGGGATGCATTTCGTGGATCGGTTAAAGCACCTTGGCCCCGTACAAATTTATTAAAAATTAGAGGCCTGTTGCGTAGCGATGCAAAGAAAGTATATTTTTAGAAAATCGTCGAAGTGTTGTGTTCGTTTCAAATACATTTTCCCAAAGCGGTTCCGGAGACAGCAAGACCGTGTTTACGCGGAAAAACTCTTACGATCGCAGTTAAAGAGTTAAAAACGAGTCGTTGCGCATTGTGCTCGACGCATCGAAACAAGGGAGCAACATTACGAACCGCAATGTAAATTGAAACGACAGAGGAAAGTCGGCGGTAAACTTTTTCGCAAATGTTTCACGAACGCTTGATAGTTCGCTTTTAAAGCGGTTCGAACAATGAACAAAGCGGCGAATTAAAATTGAACGCACCCTATAAGTGGGCTGAGGAACAGGGAGAGAGAGAGAGAGATAATGTGGGGACGCCCGCGATGGTGTTGGGGCAACTGATGGGGTAACTACTTTGAAAAGAAAAGTTGAAAGCTCGCTAGCACGGCCGCTTTTTATTCTCTAGCAGTGTAAATGGTTGCTCCTATTTGCCTCTTCGTCGTGGCGTCAACATTTCAGAGATCATAGAAACAACTAAATCTCATAACAATCTCAAAGCAGCCGTTTCTAGATCAAAAAGGACTTCTCGATCCAGTGGTTCTAAATCTGTTCTTTTTTTCAAATGGGAAAGCATCGAAATACATGGATCCTTTTCTCGAAATGACATTACGAAATTTGTTTAAAATCCATATTCAAATTTGAGCTACCTCGTGCTTCCCGTTGTGAATCCTAATCGAAAAAACATAATCAATCTCGCAAAAACGATCGAACGATTCGCAACTTCGCAGATGCGCCGCTAAAAAACTGTTTATCCGTAGTTTTCGAAGGTTTTTTTTTCCTCTCGCGATAATATTTATCCCGAGGCCGGGAGTCGACGACGTTGCGTCTCGCGCGAACACTTTTTCCTTATAATTCATGCCTCACGGTGGAACGTAAGTCATAAAAATTACCCGCGGAAGGAAAATTACAAAAATTAACAGTTTCCCCGTACGCGCTGAAGCTACACCGGACACGATAAAAATTAGGTAAGTTCGCGGTGTCTCGAGTTGCGCCGAGTAATGCACTTACCCGTCGTAATTTTTACCGCAACACCGAGATCCGACTGTTTCGCTCGGCGCGCAATCAAGAAAGTTCAACGTCGAGGGGCGAAAAGAAATCATCGTGTACGCTGTGTTTAAGAAAGAAACTGTGCCAAACTAGAGCCATATATTATCCATCAAAACAAACCATGTTTCGTAAACACGGATCCGCAAATAACAGTAATCTCCGGATAACTACAACGAAATGATGGCAATCATTCTTCGTGTTTATTCGACGCAATCGCGCAACGATTCCCCTATGTCTCGCACATACATTTCTTCTTACAGGTTGAAACTTTTCCAAATCATTTCGTTTACTTTTTTCTACACTTTGCTAGCAATTTATTATTGAATTCCTATCATGATGATTATTCTCTTCTCTCCAAGACGTGTTACGAGTCCAGAATGTCTAAAAATCTTTTCTCAAACTGCGCCACGAGCGTGAGAATCGCTTTTGGTACAACCTTTCGCTAATGTTTAGTATATTTAGAGGCACTTACGGCAGCGGCTGGGTGTCTCGCCGGCGCGGGGTACATCTTAATTGTGGCTAAATACTTCGCAAAGAATCACACGTGTCCACAGTGTCCTTTGTGCACGGTCACTTCATGATCCGTTCCCTGGGCTGATCTCTGCGGTGACATTCTCAGGATCTTGGAGGAACGCCAGCGGTCTTCCCTCGCCGTTCAGCATCGGGATCCTCTTGCCGGCTGTAATTATAACACGACACCACTCGTTATATGGACATCGAACGGAACCAAGGTGTTTCGTAAACTTGCCCGGCGTGTTTTCAGCGTGGGGCTTCGCGTAGCGGTGTTCTTCTCGCGAGAACCAGCGTTCTCTCGTCAGAATTAATTTGCTGTCCAAAGAATTGACAGCTATCGCGCGAGCTGGGTTTTACCCTCAATTGGTAGGGTGAGGCCGCACACAACTCACACTACAGTTCTCTTTGAACGTCCTATCTGATTGATTATAGCAGTCTCCCTCATCACAGAGCCTGAAACTCCGCCCGCATTATTTTCTGTTCGTTGTCGAATTTTCAACTAAGCGGAAAAAACGTCCAGTTGCCAAAACTAACAAGTTCATCTTGAAATTCTTGCCGGTTCGCAATAAATGTTTGCATTCCATTGAAACATTAGGTTTGGAGCTGACGTAAACGAACGCTCGAAGAATTATAATAATACGACTTTGTAGAAAAGGGACCGATTAACCGAGAACGCATGGACAAAACATTTGAGGAGTTTATTGAATCTAAAAACAAACAGCTCTTTGTATCAAGAATTAAATGGCTTATTATTTGTTGGCGGGAATGCATTGAAACCGATCGAGGGTACTTTAACTAACAACAGACTGTTCGAGTATTTCTAGCGATTCAATGGTACACGTTCAATGTATTATTTACTGACAATTTTTACACCGATTTTACAATTTCGTAACAGATGAATTTAACGTTCCATTTACTATTCTTGATTGAAATCAAACAAATCCCAGTCTACCAGTTGTGTAACGTTTCTCCTTTCCAATTAAGAATTAAACACCAGATACAATTCTAGATTCAAACTATTTGTCATTAAAAGTTGACGGAAATAATATTTTTCCGTGCACGTATCGACCATAAAGTTTACACGTTGCAATATGGTGACACAAAAGTTTCAATTATCCGACGATTAATATTCAAAAGATACGTAATATCACGACTCTTAACGAATTTCAATAATAAAATATCATTTATCAAATTACGATGCCGAAAATACGACGCGAAAATAACTGTAAGCTTATTTCAGGCTTACAAAAGCGAAGCTTTCATTTTCGATTTCCATAAAACCGTACGAAATCTCACCAACGTGCTGCATATTGATTTTTAAATAATTTATTTGCCCTCGCTGCGTGTGAACGCGGCTTTACGAATACGACCGATCAATTTATCGTTCGATTTATGAGCCGCGTAAACCACGCTCCGACGCAGTTCCGAGGGCATTTATCCTAATCTTTGAGGCGTGTTTCTAGCGGACGACAAAGAACGAAAAAAATGAGATGAAAAGAGACGGGAAGAAAGTGCGTTCGCACCCTCGTGTAAAATGAACGCAACACTAATTGCATGCGCGGAACACGTCATGTACGGAAACTACGTTGAATTCTTCAGGCCAGACATGATTATTTTGCAGTCATATTGACGCTACTCGTTTCACTGTCGTACCGCAATAACAAAAAACGACGGTATTTCATATTCCCAAATATTAAGTAGTATTGCATTAGAAAGTTACTAATTCTCGTAAAATAAAATTTACTAAAAATATTAGTACGATCCTCTTCGTTGTGATTATTTCTTTTCTAATGCACGAAACTAGCGTTACTCATCAAATATTTCGTTTTTAAAGGTCGTTCTCTGAGGGTAATTATGGATAACGTAGGTTGACTCTGAAGTCCCTTCATAGTGTTTAACGTGTCGGCTTATGGTTCCCGTCTTTCTAAAGTTCCACGTAGTAAACTCACTTTGACTTCCACGTTAATTCTTTAGCAGACTTGGGCATTATTGAAACAAAGCATTTAAAAATGATCGTTTCAATAATGTATTACCTCGCAGAAAATTATTTGAAATAATCATGCGTTGCTTGGAAAATAATAGAATTTTTTAATTAATTCATTACTTAAAATTGATATTCACTATTTTATCTCAAATTAAACATGTCAAAGTTTTTATCTTTGGATACCGTGAACGCTTGTAATTGTCAGTTGTGCACGTTTATGAATGTTCGGAGAATACACGTAAGACGAATATGCTAGCAGGATTTCCGCACGCGGCTCGTGCTGATTTTTTAAATCTCACATCCGAAGAAGTCATACTATCGGCTAAATGATAATGCGCGGAAAACGATTAAACACAATGGCAATAGTAACAAGCGAAATATAAATAAACGATAAATTTTATATACCGATATGAACGATACGTTGGTTTTGAAATGAGCTTGTCCAAACAATGGGACAACAAAATTAACCAACTGTATTAATAAACAATATTTCAATTTAGTAACGTCACAGTCAAAATAAACATTATTTATATTTTCGAACGCGAGTACTGCGATATAATATATTTATGCAGCGTAAAATATTAATGCAACTAGTGATGCAACGCAATCGAAAGGTACACAGTCTCTGTGCATTAAATTATAAATATAATTAATAAAAGATCGAAACGTTGAAAAGAAAACAAGTTTATGATTTTCGAGAATATTTTCCTCGTATAATTTTACCGTCCAACCACGCCAAACAATCATTATGCTTTCTAATATGTGTCGATTGAACAAACGGTGGACTGCAGTTCACCGATCGAATCGATCAAGAGCAACTTACGTAACGAACGGTTTAACAGCCTAACAGTTTAATTGAATTTTAACGCGTTGACTGCCATAGTGGTCGCCGATGATCGTTGCTTCAAACTCGCAATGTTTTGTTAAAACGTTTTCACCCTAATAATTGTCTTTGCCCTATTTAACGCTTTCAAATTTTAAAATTGGCGCGGATGACATCATGTCAAAATAAATAATCGTGCACTGATATACAAGTTACTAATAGCATTGTGTTATAGTTGATTCGCGTCATCCCTGGGCAATTCTCAAGTAACGTACCGACTCTATAAGCGGGAATCGCAGAATGCAGGAACCCCGTTTGTTACAGATAATCAACTAAAACTTTGCTAACTGCAGGCACGTTCGAATTCAAAACTAAAGCATTTAACCCTAATTCCACTGAGCTTCTTTACCGACGTAAACTACTACATTATGATTTCGGAGCATACGTGTTGCTCTTTATTATTATTATTATTATTAAATATGTTATATCACGATCCTATCCAATTAAACGCATTTATGGAACACGAATAACGAAACCCATAAATTTAGCGAACAAAGCAGATAACAAAAGTTGCCTGGTAAGAATAGGGTTAAACGTTACGAAAATTATAGGCTGGAAGTAACCCGAACACAATGGTCTCCGAAGTGAAACGTAGAGAAACTGCACTTCGATCGAAAAATGTTGTCATTGTTATTACCGTTTGCTCGCCGCGATCGGCACGTTTGGACGCAGGTATGCGTGTCATTACAGGCTCTTTGTAACGCCCGATGATGTTTCGTGTAACATGAAAATGGAGTCATGTAACTCCGTTAACAGTCCATTCGCCGCGGATAATATATTTCGCAGGCGATGTATAATGGAGCGGGCGCACGTGAAAAACTCGCAGTCAAATTCGAACAGTCATTTCCATCAATTTGCAATAAACGAACGCGACGAGGCGATGAAAACTTTCAGCAGTTTAACGCGCGACGCCTTTATCGCCTGTTCTCTGTATCGATACATAATACATATAGCTCATGCGCGACGAAAAATTTATCCATGGTGTTTATAAACGCTCGATCGACAACGGACAGATCAAAATTTCGACGCGTGCAACAACAGACAGTCAGACAAAATAATAACGGTAAAAGTAATTTTTAGAAAATTAATTTCGATTAAAAAAACATGACTATTCGACGATTATAATTTTTGGCTGAAGAGGTGTCTATTTTTGGAATATATCAGATTTAATTTTCTATCTACGATTTATTTTCAACGCGCACGGCTTAATTTACAGTACCGTGATTTGGTCACTGTTGCACGAAACGTATTTCTATATCGATAGAAATAAAATCTTTTTACGTTCGTTGCAAATGTGTTTTGTCTACAATGACCGTGTTGATTAATGCGTAATCGAGAATGGTGGGCGATAATCGCTGGGAAAGGTTAAGTGACACGATACAAAATGGGTGGTATGTATGTACAGTTGAAATTCGTAGAAAGGAAAATAAACACGCATACAGGCGGCAGCTGTTCAAAGTCACCTATACGTCCGGTTCGGGGTAGGGTAGTAGCGCAACACCAGCAAGTCACGAAGGAAGTTATCACGAATCTCGCGTAATCGCCGTTAAGATCCTTAACCACGCGATCTCCGTGATTTCTTTCGCTGGCGATCGTTATCGCGACACGGTCAAGTACCGACGCGCGCTGCGCCCCGACTTTAAAGGATTTCCCACACCAACGAGCATTAACGAAATTACGGTTCATCGACGGGAACGGAACGACGTGTAGCTTACGACTTCGTAATATCGGGGCGCGGAGCGCGTGCCATCCGATAAACCCTGACATTTTATCCAGTTAATTAACATTCAGGAGCAAAACTGCGATGACCGAGCGATAATGACAACGATATCGTTCGAACTATTCCACTATATCACAGGATGGTTATAAAGCCATCGATATCAAGACCATCGTTGATTTATGCGAAGGTCGAACGACCGACCTATATCGTACCTATTTGAATATTTAAACATTCGAACGTGTAGAGTCACGCGTCGCCGGAATATCAAATAAACTGTATCGTTTTCTCGCGTTAACCTGTTCAGAATGCGGGGTTAATTATACGCGTTTAAGCGGGCCGGTCGTACCACGGAAATGAAACACCACGGGGAGAAGAAGCAAATGAAAAAAAAAAAAAGAAACGAAATACATACGTTCATTGTACAAGTTCTAAGAAGCCGACCGACGAAGAAAGTGGCGAGTAAAACGTGTCGATTGTCTCGATGATTTAATGAGGCATGTACGCTGATTCGCGATTACCCTCGACTCGTACCCAACTCCCATTCCCGCTACCGCCGTGTCCCTTTCCAGTAATTTACCACGCAGCTGTGTCGCGTCGAAGGTGCTGCCAGTGGTATCGCTTAATAAACTGAGAAAGAGCGAAGCTCGTCACCGAGTTCTTTCAAACTCTCCTAATAACACCGTTTAAATATTTATAGCGACCTTCCGGTCAGAAATCGTCTTATCGACTAAGTCATCAGGCCGATTAAAGTTCGATTTAAACCGTGCAACACGCCCGGAATTACCTTAATCCGAATACGTAACTTTTCGGAGTATCGTTAAAACTCATTGAAATCTGCTAGTGTTCCTACAATTACCGCCACTCGAGTTGGCAACGAACAGAGCAAACCCGCTGAAAGCAATTATCAAGGTTAATGTTACGCGATACGGTATTGCCGGTAAGTTCGCGAAAACGACCAGTTACTCTTCCACCATGTAACCAACGTATATAAACGTCACGGATAATTAACGACACTGTTTTCGCAACACGAAGGTACGTTTTCCTGACGACCGATGGACAAAATATTACCTTTCGGGTCACTCCAATCAGCGGTGTTGTTTTCTTACGCGTATCGCTTCGGCTATTATAGAGGAATTTATCTCGTGGGTCGTTAAACAAATACCTATACCGCTTCTTCGTTACCGTGGTTCCCGACAATTGCCGTGCTACGCGGACGGGGAATTAATGACGAGGGATTTGCGTTTGCACAAAAATGTAACGCGAATACGTTAAACGGCGCGGCAAACGACAATTTCTCGTGTCGGCGGATCGCGGGTACAGGAATCGTTAATAAAAAAAAAAGAAAAATAAAAATAAAAAAAAAAAAAGAAAAAACGGAACTGACAGTAAATAATACCTTGTCCACGATACTTTTTTTCCTTCTGTTTCACGGGGAACGTCTTTAATCCACCTTTTGGCACTGCGAGAAAGAAACCGAACACAAAACGACGATCCTTTCGCACTATCACAAACACTTTATATATATACAGTGTAAAGGAAAAAAGAAAACGCGTGCACGGTCACACACATACATCGAACGTACGAAGCATCGAGACGGATCGCGAACGCCACGACCGCACCGTACAACGAACGACGCTCTACTGCGAGCCGGGTACCGAAGTGGATGACGGGAAACGTGTGAACGCCGCTTGCCGCCGCGGCGAACACCAATGAGCGGCTACTAACACCATCCACAGCGGCGACGACACCGACACACCAATAAGAGGACACGAATGTACACAGGGAACGGGTTGCTCGTCTCTCTTCTTTCGCGCTCCGTCCTCCTTCGACTCGTTTCTCAGTACGTCGAGTCAAGGGCGTCGACCGACAGGGGCGATTCGTTGTTTCCTTATATCACGGAGAAACCAATAATGGATAATTTCGTAATGTCTATGAAATTACAAGTTTTCCTCGTCAAAAGATATCTATCGATCCTGAATTCGTCTTTGTTTAAAGACCCACGAGAACCGACTCGATGCGGTTTCCTATCGGAAATTTTAATAGCTATTTAACTTACCAACGTTATGCTGCCGGCGTCCTGCGCTTCGGTTCAAGTTTTTAATTAAGTTTTGTCACAAGTTCTTCCTACCGGTGCAAAAGAACGGAAACAACATTCGTCGCACATTACGCGCGAAAAGTAAAGGTATTTCATTTCCGAATAATCCCAACCACGTGTTTATATTTTATCGTAAATGTACCAGACGAGTCCGAGACGCGCGTTCTTCAAAATGTTTCAAAATCTCGCGTGTATATAACGATCAATGACTGTGCTCCAGGAGTATTCCCAACGAAACGTAACCATCTCGGTTTAAAAAAATCTTTATCGACACCCCTGCTTTTGGACGTCTCTCACACTCGGCGTTACATCCTCCTAGCGGTATCTCCTTCGCGCTCGTGCTGTAGATGCGACATATCGCGCGATCTCCCTCGTACTTTGGTGTTTCTTGATCTTCCACCTCTTCTCGACGTACGTCTCGCTTGTTCGTTCGTCCCCGAACTTTCCGGCTCTGTCTTACAGGTGCACCGCATCATCGCTAGCGTTGTTTCGCTCGCGCTCATTCTCTGTCGTACATATGTCCCTTGTTCCCGTCTCTGTTCGTCTCCTTCGAGCCTCTCTCTCGCTCGTCGTCTCCCTTTCGAGCCCGTATCTCGCGATACTCTCGTCTCCGTTCCTCGCCCGGACGCAGAACAACAAAGACCGCCTCCCAGCTCGCGTCCTTCTCGCGCTTAGGCAGCAACGAGGCGCAGAAGGAGGAGTACCGGAACCAAGTGCCGAACGCTGCTTGTGTGTCGCGTGCATGAAGTGTTCGGTAACCGTGCAAAGGACAAAGACAGAACGAGTCAAAGTGCTAGAGCCGGACAACACGAGTCAACCGGCAATGTAAGGAGAGACCTCTACGTGAGTGCAAGCGGCTCAATGGTGTAGGTGATATTCCAGGCGTGTTTGCACGCGTGCATGTGCTCATCATATTACACACTGCTCATACACCGTGTCTGCTGCGCTTTGAGAGCGCGAGGAGATGAATCCTCGATTCGGTTAAACGCCCGCCAACTGGGGATGTTCTAAATCAGGCTGTCTACCTGCGACACGGCTTTCTGAAATTCCAATATACCCGTATACCTCTTTCGTCGCGCGATATACGAAACGTATCGTAGACAAAACGTGCAATCGTACCGAATTATCCGGCGGTGCGGGCGGGTAGGGTTGGGAGGTCGACGCAAAACGATGTAACACATTTTTGTTACCGGGACAGCCGTAATGGTAACGCATCAATGACAATATGGAAATGCATTTAGCGCGCCTCTGTTCCGAGTATTATTCTGTTTATTGACGCATCAATTTCAAGAATGCAATAAGCGTAAAACATTTAGCCTCGGTAATACGCGGCGGATAAATGAAATATCGCGTGATTAAACGCCGAGTGAAATTGCTGTTACTTCGCCCTTTGGAATCTGCTGCATTTATTATTGTATCGATTGGCGTACTTCGAGAAGGAAAATTATGTTATATCCCCGATAGCAGTTATAAAGCGGCGAGAGCGGCGGTGACGGGGCGCCGGGACCAGGAGGCGAGTAAACAACCGAAGTAAAGTTTGTGGGCGGATTAGCATGGTAGGTGTCGGTGGGATATCATAAAACTAGTTTGCAAAGTACAGGGCGCACCCTCCGCAGTACCGAAGGATTTCATTCTAGTCCACATTGAAACGCGGACGGGCAGCTACGAAGGGAAGACTGACAAAGCGGTCTGAAAGGATGGATTAAGGAAAGAAAACTTCGACGTCACTTCGATTTTCTTTTATCTGACTTCGTTCCCCGTTATTTCAGAGTTCAAACTTATTCAATTAAAATCGATAAACGATTACTATTTCGACGGCTCGTTTGATCATACCAACGCGTGACTCGTTCATTAAACGCCATTGGATCGTCATATGCTGTCAACACAATATTTTACTCCGAATTCCTCGATTTGTGTTTTTTTATTTGAACGAATACTTTACAAAGAACATCGTAGGCCCCACGATGCGCGAACATTAATTATCGATCTCTTCGAGGAATAAATTTAAATTCGGAGCAAACGATAGCACGAGAATTATTACTCGACGTAATTGTCAACAACGTCTGCGTGTGCTCTTCGGTTCAACACACCGGTACGTTTCTTTGGGATCTGTTGAACAAACCCGGCACGAAGACGACACGATGTACGCTCATTTGCTTATTCCTATTCGGCTGTCAGTGTCGTCGTCGCGGAAATATGCAGGAGTGTGTTACGCGTGCTGGGCACCGAGTAAAACGCAAATGTACGTATTCGGTGTCTCTCTCTTGGCGCATTGTGCTTCGGTTCTCGATCCCTCTTCCGAGCCCTTACCACAAGCCGCAGCCCACTACACTTTTGCACGAACACGCGCGCGTTCATTATCAACGTACAACGTCGTATAACCATATTTACGTAGCCCCGGCGGTCACCCACACTGGCGCAACGTGCAATGAGGTTGCAAAGAAACGACTTGCACAGAAACGAAACGCTATTTGTCGTTGTATACACAAAGTAGCGACGCGAACGCGCGCGCGCGCGCGACGAACGAAGCGAGACAGAGAAAGCCATAAATGCAATTGGAAACCTTTAGCTGATATATTCGTACAATTTCCTGCGGCCGGGGCGTAGACGAAACCGGAAGTTGTGTGTTACTCGAAATCATAAGATGTTGTCCTTTACGATTTCATTTAACCGCGACCCGGTCAGCGAAATTGCGATACCGCTCGACGACTTTCCCCCGTTATAATTGCCCCCGGGGGCCTGTGATGAATCGTTTATTTAAAATAGCTACGCCAAAGGCTGGCTCCGTCCGCGCCCGAACTATCGTTCGCTCGGATGTATCTGCATAATTCCGTCATAAATCACGCGACAGGGGAAAATAACGGAGTGTTTAAACGTCTTTTGCGTACGCACGCGAAATTACTCGCTTCTTATCGCGTGACTAATAACGAACCACCGACGGATCGTCGTTCGGCCCTTAATAATTTTCCTGGTAATTGGAGCAAATAAGGTAAGTATCACGGTTGGAAGTTGTTGGCAACGAAATCGATGCGTCTTTTCTGCGATACACAAAGGTGCACGCAACAACGCACCGAAAGGGAGCGGACGAGGTAAGGCGGTATTATTGCCTCGATGCGAGGGTAAAACAATGAACCGTGTCTTTAGAATGTTTTAAATGTAAAACTCTATATTTGCTGGAAGGCTCGCCGGCATGACGCGAGTTAAGTTGCTTCCCTAAAGGGTACTACCATTCTTGAAGTATACCTCGGTGGAATCATCTACTGCCGCGGTCGTAAAACGACTATATATCTAACTTGCACCACCCTAGCGAACACGAACCCCCTGAAAACCTGTAAAACACGCGAACCGTCCGGATAATCATTCTTCCAACGGAACGACTAGTTCCCGGGTTACGTCTCGTCAAAGATAAAAAAGGAACTGGTTAATGGGATAGGACGGTCTTATCTCGAACGTTTGAAACGTTCGCGATGCCGTATTTTCACGATACGACGACGTTCGCTCTATTTACGTATGGTAATTCCGCGGCAGAAAGATTTCTTTGTCCAGCTTTGTTTACACGGATTATCGACGTAACAACGTTACAGTTCTCCTCAATTACTACGAGAAGTGTTAAGACTTGTATGGAACCGATAATTGGTTTTCCACGACGTCTTGGGTTTTCGAGATTTAAAAACACGAACAAATAGTTTCATTTAATAAAAGAATATACACACTGGCTTAAAAACAATTGCCCGTACTACCACAAACGCGCTGATGTCATCGTCAATCAGCTTGCGCGCTTAACTGCGTTCCACCGACGCTCGTCAAACCGCGTCTGCATATTTTTTTTTAGCAATATAAACAAGTTTCTTTGAAACCGGTGTATAACCGATTCTTCAATTACTTTGACACGGCAATTCGTTTAGCCACATTTCAACTATGTTTATGATACCTGTTTATGAAAAGCAAAACTTCTATTCGATCGAGCCGTAGCCAGCTGGAGTAGTTTAGAGGAAACGCGTTTATGGCGCGCGTTTAACACGTCTCGTTATTTCCGCCTTTAACAGATTTACCGTCGCTCCATATTTTAAGATTCCTTGCAAGCACCAATTACGCGAAAAGGGTGTGCATGGCGGCTGACAACGTAACTTTGTACTCGAAATGCACGTGTATAATTAGAATATACAATTCAAGAGGTTTCCTCTTGCCGATGCAAGAAATTTATGCTTTTCAAATAACCTTCGGTTCTTTGCACCGTACCATCGTTCCTTCCAATTCTTCATTTTTATCTCGTCGCAGGTCGTTGCGAAGAATGCAACGAAGTCTGCCTTCAAAGGAAATCACAGAGCAGGTTTCTGTTAAGTTACGAGACAATGAAGTTTAAGAATAAACGTCTTTTACGATGAATCCCATTACATTAAATGTCATTGCACGGTGGAAAATGCGAAATTAAGAAACGTCATTGTCCCACATTAAATTCGATAAGCATGCTTAATGGAGCTAATTGTCGCATTAGTAATTACTCAAATAATTAATCTATTATATTGAATTCGATCCAGATATAATTCAC